CCCTGGCTCTACTTGAGATGTATGTACCCCCCTCCTTCTGTTCTGCGCCCCCCCCATCTGTCCCCATAGACTTACCCTGAGGGAGCTGCTGTTCACCATACTGCCTGGGTGGCATGTGCGTGCGTGCGTGCGTGCGTGCATGCGCGCACACACACACACACGGCACCCCTGTATCGTACTTTTCTCTCCCCCCCCCCCTTGCAGACTGGAACTCTGCCAGCCTGCAAAGGGAAACCTACAGTTTCTTGTGGGTTTTTTGTTTGTTTTTTTCCTCTCCTTTAAAGGAGAAAATCCATATTTTGCTGCATTTTTCTGCAGCAAACAGAAAACCATGATCCCTGATTATCAGATATCCTCTAATTCCTGCTGTGTGTTCTCAAACTTTATTTTATTTGCTTTATTCATTTTTCTCTTTTTTTTTTTTTCCCCCCTACATGTAAAGACACTGCAAAATATTTAGGAAACCTGACAATAAAACCTCCAGTTCAGTGTTTAAACTTTCCAAGTGATAGGCTTCCTCAAACTTGGAATCTTTAATTGTATTGTATTGTATAGACTCCTTTCCATTTTAATGTTATATCTACCCTTTTATAGACCCCCACTGTTTCCCTAAATTCTGATGAAATAATGACCGTACCAACATGTTAGAATGGCAGGGGGGCATATGCAGCAGAAGGCTGGGGCTAACAGGGTTTAGTCCCCTTAAATGTGGGCCAGCAGGGGTTGCTGGGCAGCCTGGGTGTGGGCTCCCAGCAGCTGCAGTGGTGGGGGGAGGGGCATACACAGACATGTAGCCACAGCATGCAGCAGCCCAGTAGCGTGTAGAGCATGCCTTAGGGCTGGGGGTGCAGATTGAGGCCCCTGCGGTGAATGAGGCCACAAGTTGGGTTGTGGGATGCTTGGAGTCTGGGCAGCTCGTCCAGGGGCATGGAGGGGGAGGGCTCCTGCCACTGTGCAGGCAGAGGCCTGGAGGAGCATGTGCCTCCTGGATCTGTGTGCAGGGTGGAGGCTGGCTGCTGCTGGAGGCCTGGCTCTGTGCCTCAGTGTCTCAGGAGCAGTGTGATGCCACGTGCCTTCCACATGCTGACTGCACCATGTCCTCTGTCTGCCCAGTGGCGGCAGGCACATAGCGTTGTACTGCTCCTGAAGGCAGCAAGACACATGGCCCAGCCTGCAGTAGCATCCTACCTAAACCCTGCACTCACATCAAGGAGGTCATCCATCCCC